AAAAAGGGTGGGGGGGGGGGGGAAGGACCAGGAACAGCAAAAGCTGGGGAAAGGCAGAGTAGCTGTGGAAACAGCAGGCACTAAATGCTGCCAGCCACATGCCCAGAGGTACAGTATGCCTCAGCCTCACTTGGCCTTGCGGCTCAGGCTCTTCTGAGGAAACCTGTGGGGAAGTAGCCTGCTACGGAAGGATGTTGCTCTGTCCCAACCACAGACAGGCTCTGCTTTATGCACTTTCCCACACGAAAGATGGGTGGGGCCAGGGAGAAGATAGGAGAAATGCATGAGGGACACCAAAGGCCTTGCAGGAGAGACACCACCACCCCTGCTGTCCCCAGTGCTCCACTGCAGGGTCCCCTAGCAGTCTCAACCAGAGAGGTGGGTTGCCTGCCCCTGCTGACATATCCTGGTCCTGCAGATCAGATAGCAGCAGGGCTCAGACCACTGTCAGACATGGCCCTCAGCCTCTTCCAAGCAGAGATTTAATTAAAACATGAATAAAAAGGAGAAAGCACCTGACTCAGTCAGGAGTATTTAATAAAAAAGGAAAAAGTTGGGCCTGGCTCTGGGTCAGGGCAGCAGCTTGTGTACCATCTCCATTTCAGTCCGTGCTCCCAGCAGGCTTGTGTCTGGACAGTCTGTGCCCCCAGCCAGGGCAGCCCAAGTGCCCCCCAACAAGCCACTTTGGGAGAAGAGTTCAGTCAGTGTTGCCTCCAGGGCTGTTCTCCCAGTCACCCACATCTGCATCAGGCATCTTCCCAGAGCCACTTTAGCACCGGAGTCGTGCCTGCCCTCACCGGAGGCTGCTGCTGCTGCTGGCTTGCGAGCTCCCCACTCCTGGGTGCTCTGGGCTGTGCCGGTTCTAGGAAGGACAGACAAGACACAGACACCCTTCCCTGAGAATCCACAGTGAGACTGTACAGGTTACCAATGAACTATGATGGCTTAGCTCTGAAGCTGGAGGTTTTTTTCCTTTAAAAACAGTCATAGTTTCATAGTTGGTAGGATCAGAAGGGACTTAAGCAGTCTTCCCATTAAAAACTCAGATTATAACTCAAGTTCTCCCCATGAAGTGTGGGGTTTCCAAGGAAAGTTTCTAAGTTCACTTTGATGGAAAACATTTGAGGGTTGGGGAAGGAGACATTTGAAAATGCTGCTGCAGGGCCCTATAGGAGGCCATGGAAATACAGCCCATGTTCCTACCCCCCTATAGGGCCTCTGGCAAGACTACAATTCCCAGGATGCACTGCTGCTTCCTCACAGCAGGAGACCAGGGTGCATGGAAAATAAAGAGTAGAATGGAAATATGAGGCAGCCAGAACTATGAATTCTTCTCTTCACTGCCCACAGCTGCATTTTCTAATTCAGTTTGTTGGGTTTTTTGTGCTTCCATTTGTGCAGAGGAATGAGGAAAGGAAGGAGCTTATTTTCAGCCAGATCCAGATGGGAAACACTGTTTCTCCCTGGAGCCTCCTCAGCCTCTAAGTCAGACCCCTGCAAAGGGGCTTTATGCCAGAACAGAGACTCCCGAGCAAAACAAGTCACAGGGAAGGGGCTAGACTAATTGTCCTCAACGTCTTTAGGCTCAAGGCACCCTTCCACAACTCTGAATTGAGCAACACCCCTTTTCAAAAGCCAACTTGTTTATTTTACTGGCTTGCAAAGAAAGAGGAGCAGCTGGCAGTGAGTGTTGGGGCAGGGGCAAGAGAAGGCAGAGGAGTAGGTAGAAGAGAAACGCTCGTACTCATCTCCTCTCTCCCAGCAGCACCCTGCAAAAGGTTGTCACAGCACCCTGGTTGAGAATCACTAGGCTAAACAGATCTGCAGCTCTGTCCCACCCCAGCATGGCAAGCATAGCTGGGCACAGACACATGGAGTGGAGCTAGTGCACCCCCAGCCCCTCTCTTAGTTTGCCACTCACCTTTTTTTTCTTCTTCTCTTTCTTCTTCCTCTTCCGCTCTGGATCCTCCTCCTTTTTCTTCTTCTTCTTCTTGTGGTCAGAGTCTGAAGGGGTTTCTGCAAGAAGAGCCACAGTTTGAGGTTCGACAGGCTAGTTACCCCTCCAGGCACGGCCTGACCTTTTCAGGAGACAACTGGGGTGGATGGGCTGCTGCTTTCTCCCACAGGCAGGTGGGGTTGTGGGCTGCAGCCCTTACCTGGGGGCACAGGATCCTGAGTGCGGCTTTGCTTGTGTTTGTGTTTGTTTTTCTTCTTGGGTGGCTGGATGTGCATCAGGCGGCACTGCTCTGGCAACTGAGGAGACACCAGGACCCGGTCAGCTCAGGGAGTTCATGCTCCCATGGGACGGGACAGGACAAGCCCACATCACTCTCCCAGCCCCACTCCCCGGCCACATGTCCACCCCCACCCAGGCCAGGGCGGCTCACCGGGCCGGCGTGCAGGCGGAAGCCCGTGAGCATGGTGCCGGTGAGGGGGGTGAAGGAGCTGCTGCAGATGGGCGGCTTCTCGATGAGGGAGCGCAGGCTGCTGTTGTCGTGCGAGCCGGGCAGATCGATCATCCCCGGCAGGTCGGGCAGGAAGTTGCTCAGCTTCTCCTTCACCTTCTTGCCACAGAACTTGTTGTAGGCATGCTCCAGGTTGTAGTGCGTGATCAGGTTGGTGCTGCCCGTCAGCTCCGTGTTACCTGTGGGGCGAGGGTGCCCGTCGCAGCCGGGGCGAGACCGGACAGGCCCAGGCCCAGGCCCCAGCCCATGAGGCCCACCAGGGGCAGGCGACTGCCGCCAGCGAGATCCGCCCCCTCCCGGGGAAGGACCCCAGTGCCGCGGCCTCCCATTAGGTAGGAGGCTGTTTTCCCCACCCACACGCCCTCCTCATCGGTCACTGGCTGTCAGAGCTGTCAGTCACAAAAATGCAGCACGCCCCCCCCCCACGCAAGGAGCACCCCCACCCCGTGGACGAAACCGCCGCTGGATGCGGCGATAGGCCAGCCGGCCTGCCCAGCCAACCAGCGGGGCGCTCCGATTGGCTGCCGCGCCTCAGCCCGCCTGGCGGCCCCAGATTGGCTACCTGCCGCGAGCCCCGCCCGCTACCTGGGAGCTCGCGCATCAGATAGAAGGGGCCGCTGGAGGCCACGGTCTTGCGGGATGGGTCTTCTCCGCCTTGTGGCGCCGCGGCGGCTGGGGGAGGCGCACTCCCGGGCCCTGCCGGCTTCCCCGGCCCGAAGCCCAGCGCAGCGGCCGTGGCAGGAGGCTGGGGCTCAGCTCCGCCGAAGAGCGCCGAGAAATTCTCCATCATCCCAGCCTGCCCCGCGGGGTCTCCTCCCATTGGCCCAACAGCTCAGGGTTCTGCCCATTGAAGGGCGGGCGGCCCTATACCCCTCCCTGACTGGATAAGCGCTGCCCAAGCCCCGCCTCGCGCCTGCTCGCTGGCTGCGCCTGCGCCTGCGCCCTGCCCCTCGCATGGGGCGAGTTGCTGCTTCGGCTCTACCTCCTGCTGGGATCCTACTGGTGCTTCTCCGGCGCGGTTTGACGACGCCACTCGTGGCCCAGCACCCGATTCGCCCTCTGACAGAAGTCCCGCCGCCCCGAGCCCTCGCGCTACCCAATAGGAGGAGGGATGGCAAGTGACTGGCGGCAGCGCTGGCCAATGCGTGGTCCCGCAACCCGCCTCGCCCCCCCCCCCC